GGCACAGCCCTTCCTCTTTTTATTTCCTGGAAAGCCTAACATCATCTGAAAACAGGACTCTGTGACTGGAGAGCCTCTGTTTTTCTCAGGAACTAAGACTTGTCTTGCTGTCAGCAGTTCCTGAACGTAAGCCTGGGAGTGTGCTTTAACAGGAACATGTGGAGATGATAGCTAAACTCACATGCAGATTCTGAGAATGCTGGATTACAGTGGGAAGATATTCCAGAACTTTTTCAGACCACACATCCTTCCTCTGTGGTAAGGTTGATGGGGCCTAAAGCTGGGCCTGATATCCATGATGTGAGGATCTCTCTTCCCCAGAGGTACTATCCTCTTGGATACTAAAATTATTGCCATCCAAATTAGAAAACACACTTCCCAATCTCAGGTAGGCCTTGTTTAGCTGCAGGGTTGGAGGCCTGTGATTTAACCAAAGAAAGCCCTAGCCTCCACTATTCTCCAAGTTGGGGCTACCGCCTGAAACAGGATATCACCTAACCTGAATGGACCTTGAGCTTTCAACCTCTCTCTTGCCACTATCACTAACAATATTTATTTCTTCTCAAAATATGATTTTTCAGCTTAATTTAATACAAGGGCTGTGTGGATCTCTTCAGCAATAATTTTAAAAATTATGCAGATACATAAAATCCAGGTGAATTTTTTTAAAAGCTGTGTGTACCACAAGCTAATAAGTGAAAAATACCAGGGGTGACTTCACAGTTGTCTATTGGAGGAAAAAAAAAATCCGCCATTGGACAAAATCTCAGACCTATGTTAAAAAAAAAAAAATCTAAAGCAGCATTAAAGTAAAGCTACTTAGGGAGAAGAATCCCATCCTATGAGCAATTTGAAATAAAAACTTCAGAATCATAATAGTGACTCTACCATAATTTTCTGTAATAAAACATCTATTATAACAGATATGGCAATACAATAAAAGCCCTATTGTTCCAGAAACTGTATTATAACTGAAACAGGATAATTATAGAAATACTTGCGTGAGAATTGCATGTTCAACAGAACCATTGAAACTCATTCTTCTCAGACTGAAAATAAGTCTTCCGAGTACAGAAGAACTCTTCAGCGAGGTTCAAAATGGAAAACAAGGTGGATTTAAAAAAAAAAAAAAATCACTTATGGCAGTGTAACCTTTCCGTGTCCCCTCGGGACCATCGGTAGCATGTTTCCCAGGGCCTGGCCAGCATTGAGTTCTGTACTTTATTTGGATACTAAAGTCTATAAGTAGATTTTGAAGTAGGGCATCTCCGTACATCCTTTCAAAAGGCAGACTTTAGTGTGACTCTCAGCTCTATCAAGTTCATTTGTAAGTTCTTAGAATTCCTAGCTTTTTAGAACAGTTGACTCTGGAAWCGTTTTTCAGGAGCCCCATTTGTATGTTGAAGACATTCAGAATATTGCCAGTCTCCTGCTCTGTAGTGTGCAAAGCCCTTGTCTCTTTTCTTCATGTGGTCTTCCCAATAACCCCAGGTTGTYGAGAGCTAGGATTCTCATCCTCATTTAGCAATTAAAGAAACTGAGGATTATTTGGTTGGGAGCAAGGCTGGGGATTTGTCTGGAAGCTGTGTTTGCACTATAAGCACACTGTTTCCACTTAGTGTGTCTATTTTTTTTTTTTAATGTGGGTTTGGGAGAACTGATGAGAATGAAAGAGAAGTAAGGGGCCAGAAGACCTGCAAGTCATTACTTGTCACCACTACTGACTTTTAATGTCCCATCCTGGGTAAGTTTGGCACTTTATAGGACGGGGACCTGGAGGAAATTCACAGAGTGATAATGGTGGCTGAGGGACTAATGGAGTGCGCTGGGAGAAAAATAAGGATAGTAGTAATAATAATGACACTGATGATAACGCACACTCAACACTACAGCAAATATGTCAAGTGGTGCTAAGTGGTGACTAGAGGGACATGATAACTGTCTACAAATATTTGAAGGATGTAAACATCAAGGAAGAAAATTAATTAATTATTTAGAAGTATGGTGATGAAGCCTGAGACAAGATCAGTACCAGTTCTCAAATCACCTTGTCCCCCAACAATCCTTTCAGAATTAAGCTCTCCCAAGAGTAAAGGAGGGTGGCAGATGGTTCCCCTGCACACAGTGGTCTTGACATAATATCCTAGCCTGATATTATTATTGTCCCACAGGGTAGTCATGTAGTACCATACACAGGTTCAGATTATAAAAGTAATATCTGTCACTTGTTTACTCTCTAGTGTTATGGGTTTGACTGTATCACCTAAAAAAGATATGAAGTCCTAACCCTGACACTGTGAATGTGGCCTTATTTGAAAATAGTCATTGCAGATTTAATCAAGTAAAAATGAGGTTATTAGGGTGGGCTCTTAATATGATATGACTCATATCCTTATAAGAGGGGAATTTGGACATAGACCCAAACACCCAGGGAAAATACCATGTGTCAATACAGAGAGAGAATACCAAAGATTGACAGCCACCACCAAAAGATAGGAAGGGGCAGGAAAGAAATCTTCCTTATAGGTTTCATAGGAAGTGTCTTAGTCTATTCTGGCTGCTATAACAAAATACAAACAACATAAATTGATTTCTCATGGTTCTGGAGGCTGGGAAATCAAGGAGCCAAGAGATTTCCAAGTTTTTGAGGAGACACCAACATTCAGTCCATAGTGGGGTACATGGCTCTGCTGACACCTTGATTTTAGATTTCCAGCCTCCAGAACTGTGAGACAATAAATTGTTTTAAGCCTCGAAGCTGTGGTACTTTATTTTAGCAGCCTGAGCAAATTAATATGCTTGGTGTGTGCCCATCAATACACTGAATATTTCACACATGAAAGGAATGGGGTGCATCTGGAGCTACCTACAGGAGCAGGGGAGATCTCCCCAGCCCTCCAGGACTTAGGAGCAGTATCCTGGGCCCAGCATGTGAGGGTGTATCCAGTACTCGGGTACCTTGGGGAAAAGGGCCAAGAGGCTGGATCAAGATTTCTGACAATCCAGAAACACTAAATTGACTATGCTGCCTCCTCTGAAGTAATTTAAAATAAAAGGAACACTGCCTATAAAATTTAGCTTTCAAAATGACACCAAGGCCATGCAAGAAGCTGCAGAGTTTGTAGGTGTGGCTGGATCACTCAGCACTAGTTATGGTGGATTTATGCTGAAAAATCCATGTAAGTTAGGAGCTGGTGCACTCAGCCTCTGGAAAGTGTGCAGGGTGGAGCCCTGGCTTGAGGGGTCCTGAGTTCCCTCTGCTGGTTCTATGTGTACCATCTAGCATCCTGGGAGATTCTTGGTCCCATTGGGGAGAGTGCGCTTTGTCAAGGGCAGGGTGAAATTAAGTTTCATTTGGGACGTTGGAGAGGCTGTTCATTTTCATACCCCAGCATGCAAACAAGAATAACCTGGATTCCTACACATTGCCTTCTTTAATCTTCAGAACAACGTCATGAGTTGGGAACTATTATTATTGTTATTTCCCAAATGAGGAAATGGAGGCACAGGGATAAAGTCATTGTAAGCATCATGAAGACATTAGCTATATAGCTGTAATGGAGATTCCACTGTGTGTCTAATTCAAAGGCCCCACCTGCCATTAGGAGAAAGTGGTGCTGTGTGTGACATCGCTGCGCTTCATGACTTCACTCATGGCATAGTGAAGGTCCCAGTTTACCGAAGGATTGATGATTTGCATGAACCTCTTACAGTTACAGTCTCTTCAACTTTAAGGTTTCCTTCCCTCCTTGCTTCTTTCCTGGCTCCAGGTACTCCTCAGCTCAGGTGAGTCACAGGCTCGGCCAGTTCTTTAATCTGCCGCCAGAGGGAGCTGCCGGCGGAGAAACAGGAGCGCCTCACCCAGGCCCCAAGCAGGAGACGCTGCTGCAAATTGTTCTATTCTTAACCTCAGTTCACTTTTTGAAAGTCACCCAAACCCACGCAAAGCTCCTATTCAGAAACAGACGAGGTTATTTCACTCCAACCAGGGGTAGTCTGATATTAAGTGCTTTGGGTTCTTTCTTACATGGGGGCGGAAAAGAACACCAGTAGAAAAATTACCCTGGCAGTGGGAAAAGTGTTCATTCTCTGGGCGCGCACAGCACCATGGACAGCTGGGCAGAATGCTGGTCATAAATAAGGGTTTGGTGTTAAGTGGACTCAGGCTGGAATCTGCACCCCGACACTCTTAACTGGGGCCTTGGGTGRCCCAACCGCTCTTGCCCAGCTTCTCCCCATCATAATGTGGCATGGATAACTATGCCTTCTTGGCAGGGTTGCCCTCAAGGTTAAGTGCGGTGTCCTTGGAAAACCTTCAGAAGATTTGAGATGGTTCACCGCCAGCCCTCGGGTATCTGGGGGAAAGAGTCAGGGGACTTCTCTCTTCAGTGTTATTCCTCCGCCCTCTGTTACCCCGCCCCTTCTCGTCCTCTGCTTCCTCCCAGGAGGTTTCCCAGCTCAGCTTTGCCCTAGAACTGGGATCCGCCCCGACCCCTGGAACTCTAGGAGCAGAGCCAGGGCGTCTTCTTTTCGGACCTGGAGGCCCCCAGCTGGTATCTGACCCTGTCGTGTACATTCACCAAATACTAATTCAGCACTTTTAATCCCCCAGGTGTCCCCGTGCCCTCTCCCACGCCCAGACTGCGGGGAGAGAGCCCCGAGCGTCTGAGACCCTGAGCGAAGGGTCAAAGGCAGCCAAGGTCTCCCAGGAGAACCTTCCAGGGCACTCGATCCAAAACGTGTGCCAGCTAGGGCGAAAGGACAGGGGGTGGGTGTCAAGTGGCACCCCCTGGCGGGTCCGGGGACTCCTCTCCAGGCGGCCTCTCCGGGTTGGGTCAGCCGGTGTGGGTCGTTGGGGACGGTGGGAGTGGACCTCCCGCCGCGCGCGCTGGCACCGCCCCCAGACCCCCCCCCCCCCCGCTGGAGCTCCGACCCGCGGCGACCGGGCCCGCGTCTACCCGGAAGGCCCCGCGGAGCCGGAAGGCGGGAGGGCGGGGCCTGCGCGCCGGGGCCGTCGCCGTCGCCGTCACCGCGGCCTGTGGGAGTCCCTGGGTAGCGCGCCGAGCCGGATCCCGAGCGGGCGGTGCCCCGGGCGGGGACCGGGCGGGGCCGGGCTGGGCTAGGCCGGGTCGGGCGGACGACGTGGGCCCCGTGGCCCTGCGCTCTTGCGGCGTCAGTCCCCCACAGGCGCGTAGCGACCTCAGAGGCGCGCGCGGCACGGCCGCCTTACAGCCAGGTAAAGGTGCGCCCAGGGCGGGCCGGCCCGGGGGCCACGGGGCGGAGAGGCGAGACAGGGGGCGCCTTGGGCGAGCTGTGCTCGTGTCTGGGAGTGCCTCTGGGCCCTGACCTGCGCRAGACCAACCTCACTGTGTCAGTGGACACTGTTAGCCTGTTCACTCCCCATATAAAGAAACGGAGGCACCGAGAGGCCATGTTATAAAAGTAAGCAGCACAGCTGGGACTAAAGCCCTGACAGCTTAAGCCCAGGGCCTTGGCTCCAGGTCCCGCGCCCTCTCCCGCAGGAGCTCCGAGATGCGTGGGTATGGATGAGTGTGACACAGATAGAGCGTGCACACAAGTGTGGATAGATCTGATCAAGGCAGAATGTGCACGTGGGTATGGGTGGATGTGGGTGAATGTGACATAGGCTGAGTGTGCAAGTGGGTATGGGTAGGCCTGGTTGTCAGAGCCTGTGCAAGGGTGTGAATGGGTGTGTTGTAGACGGAGTGTGCACATGGGTATGGGTCCGTGTAACATAGGCAGAATGTGTGCGTGGATATGGATAGGTGTGGTGATGTCAGTATGCATGTGGGTACGGATGGGTGTGATGTAGGCAGAGTATGCGCTGTGGGCATGGGTGATTGGAATCTCAGCCCGGAGGGTTGCAGACCAGCACACCAGGCCTTGCCCTGTGGGAAGAGGATATGGATGTTTAGAGGCGATCAGAAAAGAGTGTCAGTGGTTTAGGAAGAAAGATTAGTTTTTGTTGGCAAGAGTTAGCTTTTTAGAAAAGAAATAGAGATACTTTTGAGAGATTATAAAGTGACCAGTTTACTCACCAAGTAGGAAGATAAGGTTAGTGCTTCTGGCAAGGGCTATGAGAGGCCAATACCCTGCTGAATGTGTGTGTGGGCTACGGGGGTGTCAGTCCTTGCTCAACCTTGCACTCCTTGGACTCCACAGGAAGGCAGGTCCAATGTGGCCTGGTCTTTTGATTTTTCAAGAGAAAACAGTAATCTGGGATATATCTGAAACCTTACTTTTAGGTATTGACAAATAATTAGTTAAAATTTAAAAACTCTGTGGGCTAATCCAGTGTTTGTTGGTGACCTTTGCACTGGGGCATAGAAAGGTGGAAAGACAAAGTGTACAAGAGCCAGTGTGCAAGGGTGTGAATGGGTATGGAGTTCTGTAAATGCCTTGAGAAGTAAAATGTGCTGAAGAATGAATGAGCGAGGTCATTACTCTGACTCTTAAAAGGCTGCCCTTACTAATTTGTGTGTGTGTGTGTGTGTGTGAGTGTGTGTGTGTGTGTGTGTGTGTGTGTTGGGGATCAAACCCAGTGGCTTGCACATCTTATCTAATATTTTTTAAAGAACAGGGGATATGGAGGTTTGGGTTACCTCTGAAGCCTTCTTTTCCTTGTCTGTCACAATCTGGTGGAACTCAGAAAAAGAGACTGCTCTCCAAGGAGTGGGCTTATGTCTATCTCTTTGTTCCTTTCAGAACCCTGCTGAAATCAGCAGACCAGTCTGGGTACTTGCAAGAAGCTAGGGAGTCAGTGGGCATTTGTCTTTCCTGTGGCTGACAGATGGGCTTCCCATGACCACAGCCTATTTTAAGGACAAATCAGATTCTGAAATAGGTGTGATATGAGGGAAAGGCTCACTCCTGTGAGGTATTCCTCCTCCCTCCTCCCTCCCCTCTTTTCCTGCAATTGCAGACAAAGGCAGCATTGAGGTGTCCGAGGGAGTAGCAGGACAGGCTTCTCTCTTAATCTGGTAAGCCTGAAGCTGCCAGGAAACTGATTTTTAGTATAGGTTCAGGAGATGAGGTCACAAAACTTTCTTCCAAACAAGAGTCTGTTGATGGTCTAACTCTTGAAATTATTCTTGCAATAAATTTAAATCAGCCTTCCCTTGGATTGGGGCAGCCTCAAAGCTACTGCTGCCTGTGGTGTGAAACTACTGAAACTCAGCTGCAGTGGGGCCCCTTCCTCTACCAGCTGTCTTAACACTATGGCGCCTGCTGGCTGTCCCTTTCTGCAGAGTCCTAGGCTTGTACCTTGGTGCTGGCCTGGTGGAGGTTAGAAGTAGTATTTGCAAAATGATGTCTCATTAGCCCTGTGGGTTTTGACTTAGAGTCATTCAGAGGAGGTCTAAATTGAACCCACAATTGAGTGAGTGTAATAGGCTTGCTTCATCTGCAATTTCACTTTCTACAGTTCCAGTTGCCTGCAGTCAAATATTAAATGAAAAATTCCAGAAATAAACAATCCCATGAACTTTAAAAAGTTCATAAGTTTTTAATCATGTACCATTCTGAGTAATTTGATAAAATCTCATTCCATCTTGCCTGGGATGTAAATTCATCCCTATGTCCAGCATATCCACACTGTATAAGCTACCCACCCATTAAGCACTTAGTAGCTATTGTATCATGGAACCACAGTGCTTGTATTCAAGTAATATTTATTTTCCTTAATAATRATCCCAGAGCTCAAGAATAGTGATGCAAAGTAGGCATCAGAGCATAAAACAAAAAGGATAGATTAACTCCAGTTAGCATATAGGATAAATCAAACAGAAGTGTGGTGGAAGCCATACTTTCAGGCATCCACTGGGTGTGTTAGAATGTACCTCTCATGGATAAGGGCGAACTACTATATATATACATACTGATTTCTATATTTTTTAAACATTTTCTTATTGTATAGAAACTGTTTTGAGGGAGTAGGTCCATAATTCTGCAGAAAACCTGTATTAAGAATGGTACCCGGGCACTGGTGTGGATGGCAGCCTTGCAGACCAAGAATGGCAGGGCCCAGAGGCCTCAGGCTTTCGGGAATGGAAGTTCCCCACAGTCTTCAGGGGGCTTTCCTGAGACCTGGGCTATGCCTCCCTTTTCCCAGTATAATTGACAGATAAAAACCTGGTTATAAACCAGAGCTAAGCTAGAAGGTGATTAGATATTTTACAGTAGGCTTTTTAGCCTTTTGAAAGGTTTTACCATAAAATTGATTTCTTTGGTTATCTTCATATGCATCTGAAGTAAAACTCATTTTGTTGAACTGCATTGCTTTTTAGGACCTTGGCCACTGGGTAAGTTAGGTTATGACCTCTGTCTCCCAATTTCTGTGAGGCTTCTGCCATGTTTAGTTCCTTCCCTGTGATAATGTGGTTTTATTGTTATGGCATTTATGTGAGGACAAGTCCTGACCACTAGAAGAGCAGGAGGAGTTCTCTTATAGGGAGCAGGAGGAGGGGACATTCATTCTGTATGGAACACAGGGGCTGGGGCAGGGCCTGGAAGCCAGGAGGACACAGAGAAGCTAGAGCCGCAACAGGCATGCATGAGTTCTCCTCTGCATCTCAGACCAAAAAGACACATCTGGGGGACAACTTGTTGGCAACTTCTGAATTCAAGGACTGAGTAACATCCTGGGTCGTGTTGTAACATCCCAGCGTCCTGTTGCCCCAAGTAAGGTCCAAAGTCCCCCTGTGCTTGTATTTAACAAGATCTTAAGTGCTCCCTGTGCACTTGTGGGAGAGTCATCACCTAAAATATATCAAAAGGAAAAAGAAGAAAATTTTCTGGTGGCTAGAGCACAACATACTTCTTGTCCCTCCAGGAAGGCAGAGAAGTTCTGAAAACCTGTCTTTGTAGTAAGATGGTAGGTCCATGGGTTCATTCCAAGGGCTGAAAATTCTCTTCCAGATTCAAGAGGACAATTTATGGGAGACTTCTGGTTCTGGATTGCCTCTGGGTCAGAAAGAGCTCACGTAGGTGACAGCTGCTGAGGCATAGACTTTGCCCCAGGATTTCTTGGTCAACTTCCTTTTAGCAACTGTTTCAGTATTTCAGCGTGAAAAGGGAAGTGTGTCAAGAAAGGAAAGTGCTGGTAGAGTCTTGGGATCAGCTGAATCTCCAGGGAGAAGCACCACCCTCTGCTGCTCTGATTTTCCTTCTGGCCCTGCCAGGAGACCTGGTGTGTGGGGCTCTTCATTCCTGCCCTTCTCTGGATTGACAGAGCCCACCCTGCCCTTGGCTGCACTCTGCCGATCATTTCTGGGCCAGCATGACAAGTTTCCAGACCCCAGAGAATTATTGTAAAGGTCCATCTGTCCTTTTTCTCACTTACATTGCAACCCCCTGGAATTATTTGATTTATTTTATTCTCTTGGTTACTTTATCGTATAGCTTCATCTTGTCCTTGTTTTTAATGTCCCATGTGGAGAACTGTAGGCTTTTGAAGACTAGCTGATTAAAGAAGCCAGTGTTGTGTATCGGTAAGACATTTGGTGCCATCACACTGAGAGCCTGCAACGTCCCATTCTCAGACTGGTTATTCTGTATCCATCTTACTTTGCCTTACAAGAGCCCAGCATGTATGTGGCTTATCTCCATCTTAAAGTGAGGTTATCCGATACTCAGCTGCAGGTCACACAGCAGGCAAATGCCAGTGTGGTCCCAGAGTCCTGTCCTTTCCCCTTCTCTGGCTTGGCGCTCACTCAGAGGCCCTGTCACATAAAGAGAACATGAGGCTGGGACTTTCTGGTCTCTGCCAGGCTTTGTGTGTTGAGGATTGCCTGAGCCAACTGAAAGGCCGCTGATGCAAGAGAGGTCAGACGTGCCTCCCTTGTGATAAACTGGTGGACCATGTGGCTGGGGTGGCTCCTTAATCCCTCATAAATCAGAAGTTAATCAGAGGGCAAAGAAGACCTTTCATCTCCTCTTCTGCTTCTGTTTGCTTATTAACTAACTGCTGCCCTGCTTCTCTGTGACAAAGTCCTTTTCACGTGATGGGATTCAGTCTGTTGCACACACAAAAAACCTACATTTTCTCTCAGAGAATGGGGAGATTTCTTTAAGAATTTTGGAAGAGTAACATTTGGGTGGAAATAGTCTTATACCCATTGAAACTCTCCCTTTGATTCCCCTGCAGAGTCTCCCAGGATGCCCATCGTAGTGTCGGACATCATGAAGCTGCTGTGCTCCGTCTCCCAGGAAAGCAAGATGAAGGCAGCTGTCAAGCACTCTGGGAGGGGTGCCCTGGTCACAGGGGCTGTGGCCTTCGTTGGTGGTTTGATGGGTGGCCCACCAGGACTAGCTGTTGGTAAGTGTAGGTTCTGGCAGGTACAGCCAGACTCATGTCATGAGTCTTTGGAACCACAGCGGGGGGAATGAACCTCTTAAAAGTGACACCAATGGCCTGTACAAGGAGTTCATGGAGTTAAGGTTGTCTGTGAAATGACCTTCATGTATCTGATTTGTCTTGTTAGAAACAGAAGCTTGTGTGTGGATTTCTCAGGAATGCAGGTATTCTCGGCAGTGGCTTCTGTGTCCTTAAGACCTGGAGGAACCATGGCCCCAGTGCCGTCTGCTGACCCCAGGAATGTATCCTAGTCCAAAGATATCAGGGTGCCTGGGTCCCTTGGATGTCCCTTCCCCACATCATCATCATCATCATCATCATGTCACTTCAGAAGGGGTCCAGGGAGGTAGCTGGGATTTGCTGAGTACCTACTATGAACGGAAGCTGTATGGCCATCTTTCAAGTGCCAATTTGTTCAAGAGACCTTCACCCTTCTGAAAGCAAAAAGTTCATGGAGCAAAAGCCAGAGAGCAATTGAAGCAAACTGCTTCAATTTGGGAACCAGTTTCTAGCAATGAATGAAAGTTTGGCAAATCTTCCCATTGTTCTTTGGAAACAAGATAAAGTTAGTTCTTTTGGATTAAGGGAATGTATTAGTTAGCTTTTCATTGCCATGACCAAAACACCTGGCAAGAACAACTTAGAGAAGGAAAAATTTATTTTGGCTCATAGTTTCAAAGGTTCAGTTCATGGTGGATGGACTCCGTTGCTGTGGGCCCTAGGTGAGGCAGAACATCATGGCTGAAGGGAAAGGTGGAGAAATGCTGTTCCACTCATAGCAGCCAAGCAACTGGAGGTGGGGGGAGGTCTGGTGGGGGTAGCACAGGGAATATGCACCCTTCCAAGGCATATCCCCAGGCACTCCCTCCTCCAGTCATGTCCCACCTGCCTACAATTACCTCCCAATAGTCCATTTAAACTAGGAATGACCGATTAAGTTACAGTTCTCATAATCTAATCCTTTCACCTTTTAATATTCCTACATTATATATGCAGGAGCTTTTGGAGGATACCTCATATCCAAATCATAACTGGACAAGAAGAATTCCTGTGTTCCAGGCCACGGAAGTTCTATCTGGCTCAGGGTTGTGGCCCAAACCATAGGCTAGGAGGGAGGCAGAGAGCTGGCCACCATCCAGATGAATTGAGAAGAGCCAGATAAGGCCTCCCTCAAGGTGGCCTCTAATGGACCCTGAAGCATAGTTTCAATGGTGTTCTCATGACAGCTTGGCACCTGCTGGATTGGGCTTCAGGAGATATTTATGGAAAGACTGCTCGGTGCTGGGCAGCCTTACTGGGGAGTCAGGGGCCTCAGAGAGTTCACAGCCCAGTGGAAATCCTTGTACAGGATTGCAGTCTTCTAGTGCATGTAGGCCGGAGAGAGGCCACTTTTATGCTGAGGTTGGCTTCTGTTTCCCAGCTCACTGCAAGGCTTCCTGTCCTCTTTTTTTCCTTCGGTAGTAGGATGGACCTTCAAGGACATTTCATTAAGCTATGGCCACACTGGGGAGAAAAATAAGCATGTGGGTGGCCCTAGACCTTCCCAGTATATATTACACTTTCAGCTCTGTGAATTTGCAAGTCCTGACTTCAGCTCTTGCTGTCCAGGAAGAAAACCAAGGGAAGAGACAAGGCCACTTCCTTCTTCCTCAGTGATATTCTAAATCTTTGTCCCTACCCCCATCTAAGTGCTCAAGGCAGGACTGACTGAGATAATTTTATCATATAGCTGTGCCCCGTTGCCATTTTGGGAACACATATTTTATTCAGATTGAGTAAAAGCTGGTAGAGAACAGGATGTCTGTATAGAGAACCCCAGGGATTCACTACTTCCAGTCCCTGGTCAGGGGTGGAAGCATCATTTTACCCAGAAAACAAAGGAATTTTTTCTTCTCCAAAGAGCTAGTAATTTGCTGGTCGATATTCCTGGCGACTTTTTGCATTAAGTGCTGCTGTAAATCAAATATTGATGTTCTCATAAAGGTTTAGTGCAGATGAGTGCAACTCTTGTCGGCTCTAAGCATTTCACTGGTGTCATGGGGAAAAGTTCAGTAAAACTTGTAAATTAGCTGGTTCTCCCCTCTCCAGGATGTTCCTTTTTTTTTTTTTTTTTTTTTTGAAGCAGAAGTGAACCTGACCAGGGCCAGTATTCAGCTTCCAGAATATGAGGCTGGCTCTAGTCCCCATATAAGAGGAGGCATCGGCTCCAGGTACCTCCCTGCTTGGCTTCAGGAAACACCGGTTTTACTACCTGTCTTCTCAACCCAGCCTGGGAACAGGTTGTCTCTGGCCCAGGTTTTTAAAAATTTTTTATTTTTTGGGTTTTTATCCCCGAACATTTCATTTTGGAATGATATTAGAGTTACAGAGAAGTTGCAAGGGTTATGCAGAGAATTCCCATACATTCTTCACCCTGTTTCTGTTTCCCCAGTGTTAACATGTGTGATGATACATTTTGTCAAAACTATGGAAACCACACTGATCCATTATTGTTAACTGTCCTCAAAATTTGATTTATATTTCTTATAGTAATGGCTTTGTTTTGCTCTAGGAACCAGTCTAGGATGCCACGTTGCATTTAGTGGCCCTGTTTTCCTTGGTCTCTTCTGTTCTGTGACAATTTCTTACTTTCCTTGTTTTTCATGACCTTGTTTGTTTTGAAGGATATCAAGCAGGTATTTAGGTTTGTTAGTTTAGGTTCCTCTGATGTATTTTTTATGAAGACTGGAGTTATGGGTCTTTGGAAAGAATAACTCAGAGGTGAAGTTTCCTTTTCTTTTTTTTTTTTTAATATTTATTTTTTAGTTCTCGGCAGACACAACATCTTTGTATGTGGTGCTGAGGATCGAACCCGGGCAGCATGCAAGCCAGGCGAGTGCGCTACCGCTTGAGCCACATCCCCAGCCCAAGTTTCCTTCTCTTGCATCACTTCAGGGAGTACATGACATCTCTGGTGATGTTGACCTTGATTATTTGGTTAAGGTCACAYATGCTGGGGTTTTCCACTGTAAAATTTCTGTTTTTCTTTCTCTATTCTTCAGGAGTGAGTCACTAAGTCCAGCCAGGCTGCATCTTTAAATATCTGATTGCTGATATTTAAAAATAGTGAGATGTTTTAAAGGCATAAATCTGGTATTCCACATGACAGAAGTTGGCTGGCATAGGGTAGCAGCTGTTCCTTGAGACAGGGACCCAGCTCCCAGGTCACCACAGGCCCACTCTGCCCATTTCACTCCTTTTGATCACCTACCTGACCCTTGAAGGTACTTGAGTTTGAAGCTTCTGATATAGGGCACCTTTCCTCACCCTGCACCCTCCTTTACATGGCCTATGGAACTTTCCATTATCCAAGGCCATCAAATCCCAAAATAGCATGCCTTAAATTTGAGAATAAATTTCCATTTAAGAATAATATTTAGGGCTGGGATCGTGGCTCAGTGGTAGAGTGCTTGCCTAGCATGCATGAGGCACTGGGTTCGATCCTCAGCACCACATAAATGTAAAATAAAGATATTGTGTCCACCTAAAAAAAACTAAGAAATAAATATTTTTTTAAAAAAGAATAATATTTGGGCTGGGGATGTGGCTCAGTGTTGTAAAGTGCTTGCCTAGCATGCTCAAGGCCCCGAGTTTGATCCTCAGCACCACAAAGCAGCAATAACAACAACAACAACGATGAGAATAGTGTTCCTGCCCTTGTTTGGTAGAAGAAAGAGAAATAGTAAACTAAATTCAATTTGTTATTTGTCATTTTATAACTTGTAGGTGTGGTATAAAAAACCTTGCTTTAAGATAAGAGAAACTGTCTGTCCCCAGGTTCCTTTAGCCACCTAAGTTCTCTGGAAATTTCCTGAGTTCAAGGGCAGGAAGTGTAACAGCCACCTACTGAAGGAAACTTGGCCTCTCCACGGAGATGGTTTTACTCTAAAAATGCATTCACTCTTCAGCCATCTCCTTTGTGATGGGGGAGAAGTGTTTATGGAAGCATGGTAGAGGGGTGCTTCTTCAGCTCATGAGGAAGCTTTTAGTTAGCACAGTTCTGGGAGAAATGGTTATGCTTCATTCTATATCTGAGTGTGGCGCTTAGGAAAGGGCATGTTTGTGTGTCAATTATCTGGGCAAAATGGACCAAAGATCACATAAACCTCTGCCCTCCCCACTGCCTGGTAGAGCTGGCGTGAAGCCCTGCTCGTTCTGACCACTCAGGAATGCGCCACCCATCATCACCATAGACATGCTCTCAGCAAGGACCTAAGGCCATCGTTGATGAATAGGGCCCAACTAATGGAACCCTTCCTTGTTTTCTAGGGGGGGCCGTAGGAGGTCTATTAGGTGCCTGGATGACGAGTGGACAGCTTAAGCCAGTTCCACAGATCTTAATGGAGCTGCCTCCCGCTGAGCAGCAGAAGCTCTTTAATGAAGTCACTGCCATCATCAGACACTTGGATTGGACAGACGCTGTGCAGCTGACTACTCTGGTTATGGGCAGTGAGGCCCTGAAGCATCAGTTAATGGCAATGCTGGTGAACTATATCACTAAGGAACTGCAGGCTGAAATTCAGTACGGTGACTAGGCTGATCCTCTGAGAAGTGGGGGTTTCACTTCAATAATTCTTTGATTTTCCAAGGGTAACGGGGAGTTAGGGGGAAGCCCCAGTGAATCCCCTTGAGAAATCTGCACATCGTCAGTGAATTACCTTACACTGGAGTAGAAGGTCCTGCTGCATGGCTACCACTGTACTGGACATGGCCAGCAGTTATTTATGAAGAAGTCGTGTTTCTTGCTCGCTTGTGTGGGCTGAGGTACACTGGCAGCACTTCTTGACTGTGAAACTGGAGAGAGCAAAGGCTGAATGTTGCAGGCCTTGGCTTTTATGAGTCTGGAAGAAGGTTATCGTGTTCAGCTGATTTGCTAAGTGTACTTCCTTCTCCTCATCTTGTGAAGATGGCTTCTCTTCCAGACACCTGTTGCAGGACTGGACCCCCCAGGATCCAGGATCTCACTCAGAACCAGTCTATGCCACAGTCATGAGTGTGCCCCTCTCCGCCCAGTGATTTCTCAGTGCCCTCAYGGAGAGTGGTTAGCCTGTTGAGTGAAGCTGCAAATACCAAGCAGGCTGGGCCCATCTCCCACTAGCTGCCCACCTTGTTCTCCTCTTCCTAGGACCTTGTTTCCCCACATGAAAACTCATGGTAATTCTTGAGTTAGACATTTTAAATGAAATATTTTCAGTACAAAGTATTGCTCTTACATAGGGGAATCCTAACCCATCTGTAAGAAAAGTTCCCAACCTAAAGATCCCCCAATATCACATTTACTTTGCCTTCTGGAATTCTTGACAAATTACAATAAWTTTTTTTTTCTGAAAAGTCATTTTCCTTTGTATTTTGATGCTTTATAGCATCACTAGCATTTCAAAGGTTACACATGGAACAGAAGTGAAGGTTTCAGATTTGCAGCTTTGAGGAATGAAAGAAAGCTCCCCCAGTTTCGATGCCTGAGGCAGGCCTTCCCAGGCCAGCTTTGGCCCAGCATGTGCTGCCAGTGCACATGCACCATCCCCAGCCTCCTCTGGCAACTCCAGAATGTGCCTCTGTGCCCAGGCCATGGGGTAGGGCAGGGATGGCATTAGGGCTCTCTCCATGCGCTGCAGCACAAGCTCTCTGGGATGCAGAGAAAGGCACTTCTGCTGAGGGCAAGCTTAGAGGAGAGTTTGGTGTCCCAGCACCTTCGTGTGTATAAAGAAAACTTCAGGGTGAATGATAACCCAGGGTGATTAAGGAAGGATGGAGCCTTTATCTCAGAGAAATTGCTCTTCAGCTGGCCCAGCACAAACCAAGCGTCCAGGCACAGGCCATACTCCTGGAGCTAATGAAGTCACTTTGATCCTTTGTATCCGGCTTGAGTGGAGTTGATAAGGGAACAAGACAGGAGTTAGTTTTTTGCCTGTAAAAACTCAGTGTGGCCCTTCTTGTTGACCTAACCATTTCTCTTCTCCTGACAAATAAGTCCCTCATATGGTCCCTTGGACTAAAAATATAAAACAGGGAATCCTCAACCCCTCATTTATTTTTGTAGCTTCAGAGGGCTCTAAAGTTGCCCTCTTTTTGGTGTAAAGGTATAAACATTGATTTACAGATATAAGAGAATGAAACCAGAATAAAGATTTTTTTTGGTCCATTGYTTCAGAGTTCAAGTTTGCTTTTCCCATTTTAAACAATATGCCAGATTCTGCAATTGCTTGTCCCTGGTCCTCCTGGAAAAATCAGGACTGTAATAGACTTTCCTTTGTTGGGTRATTGGGCCCTGCCAATTTATACTCCTGTATGGGGTCCCACTCTGTGCCAGGCCCAGGGCACACAGGTGGTCCCAGCTCAGATGCCCAAGGTCCACTGGAGCTCCTCCCCTCACCTGCCTGCCTCTGTCCCTGGGTCAAAAACCAGGGAGGTGATGGTCCCAGCTTCTGACCAGGTCGGGTCTGATGGAGCAGGACCTGATGATGAAGACATCCTTGACTAGCCAGTCCTGCTGTGACTGTGGTTTTGGGGTCCAGGAGGACATTCAAACCTCAAGTTCTCTATCTCCCAGGAGCTGAAAGCATTTTCCTAGATTTCCGCAGGGATTTCTTCTCGTCAGGCTCTCAGCTCCTGTAATTTGAGTATTTATATTTCTGTTATCTTCTTTGTAAAAATTTGCTTTAACATAGGTGATTGCTTGCTACAAAACTTAACAGGTACCAGAGAGTACAAAGGTGTCCCTCCCCGTGACTCCAGAGGCAGCCATGGTGAGCAGTTAGTGTTAGGGTGCAAGTGTTGATTTGTGGCCCTTGTCCCGTCCCCAGGGGGAGCCACTGTTCCCCATTGCTTGTGCATTCCTCTAACTCTGCTCTTAAAAAGACTTTGGAAGCAGTATATTTCCTTTTATTTGTCAATATGTATTGCTGAAGACAGAAAAATCCAGAAAAGTATAATGAAATAAAAACAACTACAAGTTCTAACACCCAAAAACCTATTAACAAATTTGTTTTATTTCCTGCAAACCTCTTAAAGCTATGTTTGTATATTTCTAACATATTTGCACTTGCACTATATATACTTCTTCAAACACTTCATCAGTTAACTTTAATTAATTTATCTTTTGCTTTTGTAGTGCTGGGGATCAAACTCAAGGCCTTGAGCATGCTTAGCAGATGCTCTACCACTGAGCTACACACCCAGCCCTATCAATTAACTTTAAGAATATTTTTGATGTAATTTCAAATTCCTTATAAATATTTATTTTTTATTTGTGGTACTGGAAATTGATCCCAGAGCCTTGTACATGCTAGCCAAGCATTCTACTACTGAGTTACACCCTCAGCCCTATTTTTATTTTTTATTTGGAGACAGTTCTCACTATGTTGTCCAAGCTGGCCTCAAATTTGTGATCTTTCTGCCTCAATCTCCCAAGTAGCCTGGATTATAAGTGAGCACCAGTGCACCAGGCTCTTTGTAGGACTTTATAATGGCTGTATAGTACTCCACTGTACTAAACAATTTCCCTGGTAGTGTTTTCTTTATGCAGATTTTTACTATTATATTGCTTCAGTGAACATATTTGGATTACTGATCTCTTTATATTTGGGTTTTGATAATCTTTGGATTATGACAGAAAGACTCAAAGTGACATTTCTGAGTTATAAAGTATGTAATAGATGTAAAGATGGTTGTTATATTCAGTCAAAATTCTTTCAAAAAGCGTAATTAATATATTTATCCAATGATGTTTGGGATATGCACATTTCATTGAATCCTCATCGAGAAATCTAATGGTAGTGCCTTAAGCCTTTGTTAATTTGAAGGGTAACTGCTGATGGCTTGGTTTGATTCATTTTTCTTTTAATGCAAGTGGGGCCAATTGATTTGGCTGCTATTCTCCTGTTACCTGTGATAGATGGCTGGGGGTGACCCCCTGCCAGGCTGCCAAGAGCCCCCAGTGACCCTGTGGCTGAGATATAGCTGAGGGTGAGAGAGAGTCCTTGCAGGGCCGCAGCTGACCCCACTTGTGGCTGCATCACCCAGGTAGGGGCCTCTGGCTGCCGGCAGGAGAAGGAGGCCACCGAGGCCAAAGGTGTGGAGACCCAGTGCTTATAACAAGAAACCATCTGCGCAAGGCTGGTTATTAACCTGCATTGGATATTGACATGACAGCACTGAGCGAGATTTTTTTCACAGGCAGATGGTGTATTTTTAGCTAGAATTAACTTTTTTATATTTCTGTGTTTTGAGCTGTCTGGCTTGAAATAAGCATGGCTGGGGGTATTGCAGTGAGGGAGGCTGGGGAGGAGAGGCCCCAGCTTGGAAAGCAGCAGTCCTGCCCATTAGTTATTGAGAGGTGCCATCTAGTGGGAAAGCCAGGCATGTCCTGCTCCTTTCCCTGCTGCAGGGGGCCCACAGTGCCTGCTCCTGGTCAAGGGCCCCCGCCAGGCCCCAGGGTGCAGCTCGAGAAGGGTGCTGCTTGGGGAGTTCCCTACGGGGAGGGGCTGAGGTCTTCCTGAGCAGAACATCAGCCCTGTCTCCTGCAACATTTTTTTTCACATAAAACAGAATGTCTCTCAATCCTGAACAATCAACATATGGCAATTAAGAAATGCCAGGATCCATCTAAACCACGCAGGGAAAGGGACTGTCTGATGTGTTTTCAGTTTGCTGGGAGGAGATAAATGGCTTTGTTAGTTGGAAGAGCCCTCTTGGACCATTATGATAATGGCAGATCAGGAAGCTGAACTTGGGCCTGGCCAGCTGAATCCCAGCCTTGGGGTCAGCCATGAAAACCCTTGAATCCTGGCAGATGGAGGGAATCAAAACCATCGATGTGGTTGCTATTTATCTTATTTTTCTGCTTTTTGCTCATCCTTATTAGCAATTAAATAAATGTGAGTATAATATCTAGGCATTATCTGTATCCCAATTAATTAGTAAAAATAAATACAAATGATCCAACCCAGATTTGGCAGAGCTGTGTGGAAACCATGCATATGTACAGTACACACAGGTGGCGATGCATGGTGATAGTCACTTGAGAGAGTGATTTGAAGAAAAAGTCACAGGAAGCATAAAAATTGCATATACCTTCTAGCTAACCAATTTCACTTCAGGGAAAATATTCAAATATTCAATAAAACAATTCAAATGGAAAAAAGTATGCATAGCACTGCTATTTATAATAGCAGGAAAAAGGGAAATAATTCCAACRTTGAAAAACAGGGAAATAGTTAAAACTATTTATGTATGTAATATAATACGGTATTAATAGCTAATTTTAAAAAATAATAAATGGGGATGGGTATATGAAATTCAGTGGAATTTCCCATCTACATTATATACCTTATGTAAAATCTATACTTGTGTGCTTGGAGGGAATAAAAAAGAAAAAGAGGAATTGAAAATGGTTCTGGGGTTCCTTGTGGGCTTTCCATCTGATGTATGACTTAGAGGGTACAGAATGGGTAGGCATGAGTTTCAAGGTATGGGCATTTGTGCCTGAGGGGGTTCTAGTGTTTAAAATGATCTGATCTATGTGTCTCTGTACCAAACAAGAACCAGTCAAATCTGTGAAGAGCCCGTCATGGGTCCCCAGCTCCCTGGGGCTGCCTCCTGGGAATTGTTCAAGGCCATCTTGACTTGAGGCAGCGTCCTCACAAGCCCACTGTGGACAYCACCTTCCCCTGAGGTGTGGTCCATACAATGTCAAGTTCCAAAGCACAGCCTCACGCTATTTGCCCCATGAGAGTCTTATCTGATGTGCTTGTGCMCGTTGACCAAGGCAGGAGGGCAGCCAGACTGAGAACTGTTTGGATATAGGGTCTTCTCTGTGTCAGCACTGTCCAGGAGAAACGTAAAACGAGTGAAAAACGTGAACCATATATATAATTTAAAAATTTCTAGTAACCACACKTTTTTAAAGAATAGATTAAATTCATAATATACTTTATTTAACCCACTCTACCAATATACTRTCATTTCCACATGTAATCAATATAAAAGATAATTAAGATACTGTATTTTCAATTTTTTTCCCCTACTAAGTCTTCAAAATGSTGTACATTTTACACATAACAACACATCTCAAGTCTGACTAGCTATGTGTCAGGTTACATATGGCCAGTGGTTACCGTATTGTTATCTAYATGATACATAATAGAAATATAAAAATAAGAATGTTCTCATCCTTTTGTACTGGTGTTACATGATATAAACATGCTCTGAAAGTTCAGGATGTCTTTTGTCTCTATTTTATTCTGAAGTTCAGCATCTGGGCTTCTTTGAAGTCGCTGTTAGAGATTGGGAGCAGATGAGGATGTGCTGTGGACTCTTTT